TCTCTTTCTGTGACGAACTGGAGAAAATTATTTTGAAGTATATGCATGGTATACACGAAGCAGAACACAACTTCACATAACATTCAAATTTCTTACCTGATCAACAAAAGACTGTGGTGCATTCCTGGAATGGAAAATAACTGGAATTGCTGCTCTCACCCCAAAATCTTTGCCTGGTATCTTTCCCCCTCCCCTTATGCCTCTTTTCAGTAGCACCTGGCTCCCTATGCAGTTGTTGGGCAGTCAGGTAATGTTCTTTCCACCAGGATATGGAGAAGGTGTCGATGAGATGGCACACAGGTATGATTCCCACAGGTTAGTCTTTTGGTGAGGACATCCTAAAGTTGGAACCTGACAAGTGGCTGGGAAGAAGAATTGTGTTTAGATAACATTTGATTAATCTGGATGTTCTTATACGATAAAAAACAAATCTGTAGTTGAAAGATACAGAACACTGTCATACAATTTTAGTTAAGAAAATTCCAGTTGAAGGTAATGTCCTCCCATTAAGGGGACCATAAGGGCAAGGGGCACTGTTTCTTTTTTAAGAACTGTTACTATATCACAAAAGCTATGTCTTTAATTGATGACAGTATAACCTGCCTGTCAAAATAGCTAATAGCCAATGCCACTACAAATGTTGGAAGTAGCCTAAAATCACCTTTATATTTCATCCCCAGACTCAGTCAGAAGTGTCACCCTGCCTAGCTGTGTACCCAAAGTTTGACATAGCCCCTTGCTTCAGGGTCGCTCAATTAATCTTTACTCGCAGATGTCTTTCCTGCTTTGTCTGCAGTTAAGGATGCTTCTGGGCAAGGCTGCTTGTGAAAGTACATATCTGTGGTTTCACATCTCCCATGATTGTATGTCATGGCAACCTGCTGTCACCTGTCCTGCTGTAGTTCCTGAGCTCTGCAACAGCAAGTCATCTCATCCCATCTTATAGGGAGACATTGCTCACAGTTCTTGAGCTACAAAACCTTTTGAGTCAGGGACCGAAAGAGTACGTTCTGTAAAGAACTTCACACATACGCTTATATCATACATATGATCATTTACAAGCATGACTTATGTTTTACAGATTGTATGAACTTCCAGATATATTTTATTATGGAAAAAAACAATTGATGTAACTGTATACAAGGAATGAAATCTGATTTCAGTTAATATTATAATCCATGTAATAGTTCATTATCAGGTTCTGACTTTCCAAATGTCAGATTCCAAACTATTCAGAAATTAATGTGAAAGTCTGTAGAAAGCCTCTGCGTAGAGCATAGTATTAATTCTTCATGTTTGTTTCATTTTATTTTATTTAGACTTGAAAGATAATCTATTTTACCTGCATAATCTCAGATATCTTCCCTCATCATCCATGAATGGAAATCGCATCACTGTGTCCTCATATATTATAACTCAAAGGAGAACAGTCAGGGAAAACAGCCAGAGAAAATCAGCCCAAACCATGTCATGAGTTGTATAAAACAGTTCTTTTACTTTCCACTGATCTGACTTTTTCCACTACCTGTAGTTTGAGGCACTTTAATCAGTGGATGTAGAATTTATTGTATTCTTTTTCAGACATCGAAAGCATTGGTAACCGCTCTCGTAAGTAAGTGCAGAATTTGGCCAGTGTAGGAAACTCCCCAAGTTTGTTGTTTCAGTCTCAATGTCTCACATTGTGAGTGTTTTGCAGTTGATTTTGATGGGGTCAAACATAGACCTTGAATCAGCTCCATTCATTTTATTGATTTCTGATTTGCTGATAATTAGAAGATACTAATTGAAATCCTAAAAGTGATAATCACTGTTGCTATGTATAATTATAGCTATATCTAGGTGGGAAGGATGATAGTTACTCCCTCCAGAGTTTGACTGCCAAGGATGTGAGGAAAATCCGTGTGTTTGAAGTGGTGTTATGGTCAGGTAACCACCATTTTCAAAAGAATAGTATGGCTCGAGAGATGTAAACCTTCACAGGAGCTCTTCAGGGGTTTGCTAAGACCCTGATTTTAGAGGTATTTATGAAAATAAGATTTACAAAGGTATGTCTGCTATCTATATGCGTCTTTCTATTTCTTACATTTGCTTGTGTTGTGATATGTGAGATGTTGCCATTTTATTTGGCAGTTGCATTGGTACATAATAGGTGACTATGCGTTGGGGCACTGTGAGGGTTGAGGGCTCCCTGGGGCCCAGGGATGCTCCCCAGGGGATGGCAGGGCAGGACCTGGCAACCAGGGCCTGTCCCTCCCCAGCCAGGGCAGGCAAGGGGCAGCATTTAGCACCTCCCTGGGGACTGGGACAGGCTGAGGACAAGCTGGGAACATGAGTCATGGTGAGAAGCAGTCATGGGGGGAAAGGGACGTGTAGTCAGGGCCCTTACACACATCATTGAACTGAATGGTTAAACCTTGAGGGCTTGTTTTGCTTACGGGTGATCTAACCGGTCATTTGTAATCATCCGCGGTAGGAAAGTGCTAATACAGAGTAAGCATTTTTTGCTTTTTTATGCATTTGAGAGCATTTTGAAATTAAACCTCCCTCCTTCTATTGTTACTTTTTCTTTTGTACAGAATGATTATTTGCTGTTGTCCTAAATATGTGAATGTCATGTGTAAGATGTTTTGTGCACTTGTAAATTCAGCAGGCATTTTCTTGGCAGCTCAATATTCCATTAATGCAGCTGGTACTTTACACTCGTCATTTAAAAAAGCCCCACGATATCTTGCCAAATTACATTAATTCTAATATGGCCTTTACATCCATACAGCTAAAAGTAATGGTGTAACCACCCTTTTGCTGTCCAGAAGCAGGAATAAATGTAGAAGTCTGCAAATGCACAGACTGCTCAAAGCTCTTGGATTTATATCTTTCAAGATCAAAGAGCTAATCATAATGAATTAATTCCCTTTTCATGAGTGGTACTTCTTCATTCTGGCCACAGTTCAAGAAAATAATCACGTTCAGAAAGTCTGAGTACCTAAGACCCAATTCATACCTCAGGTATGCGGGAGATAGCAAGGGGACAGACAGGACATTGCCATGACTGCATTGCAGTGGCACCATGTAAGAGATGGTTCAGATGCACTGTCCCCTCCAGACAGCGCTCATCCATGCTGCTGGTGACTTCTGCTGTCCCCCACCATGTGCTTGAGGTTTTTGTCAAAGAGGGTGTATTCACAGGGTAATGTATTTTAAAGAAGATTTAAATAAGAGATGTGTTGATGGCCATCAGGACCAGAAGGGCAGAGAGAAGCCTTGAAAGGAGGGCAGAAGCTTTGCGAGAGAATCAGTTGGTGACAGCAGTCTGATTTTGGCAAGAGTGAGGGAAAGTGGAATGTCACAAAAAGAAGCAGTGCAGTGCAGGAAGACAAAGCTTCATTTCACATAATCTGGGATGCTGGCCTCCTGAAAAGCTGCTTCTCTAGTTTGCTGTCTGCCAGGCTGTGGCAATTCTGCTGTCTCTGTACAGGGGTGTGTATTATCCCCTACAGCTGGCAATGGGAAGCCCAGTGCTTTAGTTCTGCAGCTGAACCTGCAACACTTCTGTGTGTTTAGAACGGATAACTGGTGGAAAGGGTGCTGAGGCAGCCTGGAAGGGAAAGAGGAGCAGGCCTGAGCACTAGTGAGTTCTTGTGAGAGATTAGCGTCCACGTTGGTGGCTGTTTAAGTTTACAGAAAATACGTGCTTCCCAGCTGAGGGCTGCACTGGGACTGCAGCCATGACCCAAACTGGTCAGGAGACAGGTGGCCTTGGCAATAAGGCAATCCTGACCGTGCCGTGCCACACAGGAGGGTGCCTGCACTGGCTCGTGAGCGTAGGCTGGGACTGGAGTTCCTTCATCCCCGCAGTAAATCAAAGCCTATCACAACTTGATTCAAAGCACTCCTAAATAAATGAGCCTTTCAGCTGATGTCAATAGGATTTCTAGTCTCTTTCCCATTCCTCAGCATCCTCGCATCCCCAGAGAATATAATCAAGCACAGGAGACTGTAACAATCAGGGCTTGGAGATTATGTAGCATCCAGGCACAGCCTTGAGGAGTCATGTTTGCTGACATTAAGTTGACTACAGCTTTACGGTCATTTTACACATGACAGCATGTCAGCTGTGTAAACCTCGCTGGAGCAGGAGATTGCCTATGACTAGCTGCTGTAAAATTGAAATGATTTGTCTGTGTCTATGTGGACTGAAAATCATGGCTATTGTTTGCTAGTCATTGCAATTTCTCAAGCTTTTTTTCTAATTCAGTGTAATTTTGTAGTGGAGACAAGGCATCAAAGGGGTTCACAATGCAAGTGTGTGCCAGACCCCTACTTCATCACTGCCTCCCATCAGATTTAATGGCTTCACCTTGAAAGCACCAGATCATATTGTATTTTCCTAACTTCAGTAGAATTTATTCTGAGAGAAATTGTTGCCATTGCAGAGGGAAGTTATTACTTGAGGTCACTTACAGTAACAGAAGTGAACTCTAACTGACGTGATTTCTGTGAACAACCTGTGGATTAAGGTACCATTTAGCATAACTGCTGTAGGGTTTGAGCCCATTGATTTCTGTGATTTTGGTGTAACTGAATAGATAATGATGGATGGCTAGTTTGCACCTTGAACTAAAGCAATTTTGTAAATAATGATTACTCCTGTTCTCATTTTTCAGACTTAACAAAGCTGTATAAAGCTTGTGGTATAGTTAAACAGGAGGACAATGCTTTGAGTATGACTTTTGAACATAATTCTCAGTTATATTTTATTTTAAATTAGTATAGAAAAATAGAAAATATTTTCATGTATTCTTGTTGACCAAAAGCTACACAGTTCCTATACGTTCCATAACCTGACCACTCTGTGTGTGACAAGGAAAACAGAAATGCTTTCTTTTAAGTTTTTGTGATATTCTATTTCACGTGACTTGATAAATAGACTTTAGGCAACACTACATCCTAGTACAGAACATTTTATAAGAGAAAAGGAATAAAGACTCCCACTGAAAAGCTGCTTGTGTCAAATAATCATTTATTCTGCTGTTGTTGACTTGCCCCCGTCTAAATGACAGGGGCTTAGCTACCAACAGGAAACAATATTCCAACAAATGCTTGTGAAACCCTGTATAATTCTTGTCACATCAAAAGTCTAAGTGGAACTGTGTGCTTTTGGCTTTAGTGTTCTTTTTACTCACACATACAGAAACAATAAATGAGGAAATATTTATGCTTATCAAGAAAGAAGGCTGCTTTTTACAAACATTCTTCCCCAGCACATCAATAGATCTTAAGCTGCATGTCTGAAGTTTGGGTGAACCTCAGGGTTGATGTCACATATCGTGCTCAAAAGCTTTTTCATCATGCTCTCCATGTTCTTGTGGTAGCTGCTAGTGAGGTTTCGGACGGTTTCCTTTGTTTGCTCTTCTATTTTAGCAGAGAGGTTACCTTGGGAGCCCATTACCTGAAAAACAGAAGTCCTCTAAGCAACATAAAGTGTTATATATGTTTATTGTACTTCATCATCTAGCATAAACATAATGCAAACACATCACAGTGCTGCTTAACAGTAAGGGTATGATTTAGGTTGAACTGTATGTGTAACAACAGGATTTAAGGGAACCCTTTCCGATGCTCATTAGCAATGGGAATCTCCCCATGTAATGAAAGTTTCCCAGCTCATTGTGGGGAACAACATTGCACATGTTTTGTCTTCTATATTGCTCATTTTAATTTGTTTCCTATTTTAATGACTAGTGAACTAAGTTCTATCACCAGTGTGCTTCGTTTAGCCTCACTGAGAATGAATGTGAGCGTGGCTAAGGAGTAAACATGACAAAGCATTCCTGACAATGCATAATTACAGTTTCAGAGTACTTGAAATTTCTTCAGCAGTTAGTGATGTATAACCCTCAACAGGCCTCAGACAAGGTCTTTTAATGTTTCATTTTGTTATCTGGCAAAATACCAGACAGCTTCTGGCACAGTTAATATCAGGACATTCGCTTGGAATTTAATTGTCTCTAGACTTGCTGAACATTTTAGCAAGGTTATGTTATAAACAGATGCATGTGTTCCAAATCCATGACTTTGCTCCCTCCTCCCCCACTGCCCCAACATCCCTTGAATTCTTCCCTTATGGAAAAGTCCTTCAGATACTGGCAGAAAAATTGGTTTCCAGCTAAAGAATTCCATGGGGCAGAGCAGAAGACATTTCTGCACTTTGACAAGAGTAAGAAAGGAATAAGTAACATATTCTTCTTGTTCATGGCATGATTCTCTGGGGTGGACTAGCAGCTGAAGCTAACCAGGGATGTTAGTGGGATACCTAGAGGATGACCAGAAACAAAGGAGTCGTCGTTAGCTTTATTTCCTGTGTGATTTCAGCCCAACTTAGTCCTCAAAAGAAGGAAAAGCAGCTGACTTAAGACCTTTTGAACCAATTGCCTTTGCAATTCTGTTTATCAGTACCTGGTAATGTAGTAAGACATTTTTATGTAATCCAGATTTCCAATTTGGAAGAAATACAGGATGTAAAAAGTCAACAAGGGCAAATGTTAGGGTCCTGCACCCAGGGAGGAATAATCACATATGCTGGTACAGGTTAGGGACTGACCTGCTGGAAAGCAGCTCTGTAGAGAGAGACGATGGGGTCCTGGTGGACAACAAGTTGACCATGAGCCACCAATGTGCCCTTGTGGCCAAGAAGGTCAGTGGTCTCCTGGGGTGCGTTAAAAAGACTGTGGCCAGCAGGTTGAGGGAAGTCACTCCCCCCTCTACTCTGCCCTGGTGAGGCCACATTTGGAGTACTGTGTCCAGTTCTGGGCTCTCCAGTTCAAAAAGGATAGGGAACTACTGGAAAGAGTCTAGCCGAAGGCTATCAAGATGATTAAGGGATTAGAGCATCTCCCTTATGATGGGAGAGCTGAGACTCTAGCCTGGAGAAGAGAAGGCTGAGGGGAGACCTTATTAATGCTTACAAGTATCTAAAGGGTGGGTTGAAGGAGGATGGAGCAGGATCCTTTCAGTGGTTCCCAGTGACTGGACAAGGGGCAATGCAGGACAAGCTGGAATGCAGGAAGTTCTGTCTGAACATGTGGAAAAACTTTTTTACTTTGATGGTACCAGAGCACTGGAACAGGCTGCTCAGAGAGGTTGTGGAGTCTCCTTCTCTGGAGATATTTGAAACCTGCCTGGATGCATTCCTGTCCAGCCTGCTCTAGGGGAACCTGCTTTGGCAGGGGGGTTGGACTAGAGGATTTCTGAAAGTCCCTTCCAACCCCTACAATTCTGTGATTCTGTAGACATAATTCTACATATTGGGAAAAGATTATAGTTTGCCATAGTAACTATTTTTAGCTGGCCTTTTATTTTAGCTTTTAGACAAGTTGTAAGGGTCTCATGTGAGATTGTACAGCTTAGACCAGACTTATGAAGCTGATTTTTTCTACTGGGGAAAATAAATTTCTAGAGATCGCATATGGTTGCATGTTATCCAGCTACTAAATACTTTTGGAAATCCTCAGGAAAAGTATTACAATTTTAAGAAGACCCTCTGTAGACTGGGAACCTGCTCTCTCAGTTCATGCTGATGCTGTAACTGGAGATAGTTGATTCCCACTCTTCTATGTATTTTTTTTCCCCTTTTCTGCTTCTGAATTTGAAGACCTTTTTCTTGTCAGAATGCAGACAATTCTCTGCTTAGTCTGTGATTTCTGCTGACCTTGAAGGTCTGTCCCTTATTTTGCCCATACTGGTTTTATACTAGTGTTATTCCAAAGTCGCTAAAATGTTACATTGACTTGGAAGCCACAAAATTCAGAACAAGGCTGTGCATCTCCAGTTCAGTGATCTCAGACCCTGAATGCAAACACCACAAGCACTAGCAAAATTGCTTTGAGATCTGGGCTTAAATTCTGTATATTTTGAAAAAAGATCTTGTGTATTGTCAGTCTAACCTCAAATTAATTGTTACTTTCTATTGCTGCTGTTGTTCATTCTGGACTCATGCAGAACATCTCACGGTATGAGAAAATTTACCCCAGTTTGGATACAGCAACACAAAGTAAAAGAAGGAACAGCACTAAATGAGACTGACAAAGAATTAAAAATATTTGGGTCTGAACACCTTAGCCAGTAAACTGAACTGGGCATCAGACTTCCCTCTGCACTGGCTTAGCTGGAACTCCTGACTGCCTTCCAGGCACAGGTTAATAATGATGACATTTGTCTGGGTAGATAAATGTTCGACACAATGGGGTCAGGGAATGTGAAGGAGGACTGCAATGAGCTTGTACAACATGCTGTCATTTGAGGAGCAATATGTGCTCTGTCCTGCTTGTGTGAAATGTTCAGTCGACAAACAGTGGCTTTTCCCTGCAGCTTTAATTCTGCTTGGGATGAAAAAATTGAGTTCACACCAAGGCAACATCTTTTCTCTTCTGCTGTTTCAGACCTAAAACAAGAAGTCTGTCTTGAATGAAAAGGTGGACAAATTTTAGAGGTGTTTTAACTTTATTTTAGTGTCAGTAAACATCTGAAATTGTACCTATGAGACAATTCTACCTGGCTTGGCTGTGTGACAGTGTCTGGGGGGTTGGCAGTGTATGTTAGAGACTTTGTGTATATATCTGTTCCTAAGGCTTGTGATCTCTGCTGGAAAATGTTTTATGTGAAGTGTGACTGCAATGGCAGTTTTGTAAAGCAGTTTTTATTTGACCTCTTTGGCTTTTTTTATGTGGCTGCTTTTGCACATGTAGTTTCCTTGCCTTTGCACAAAACAAGTAGGGACAAAAACAAGAACAAAAAACGTAAGGGGAAGATTACAAAGTAAAAAGAGAACAGTTTGTGAACTTTCATGAAAATACTAGAGAAGACTGCAAGATGGCATAAGTGTATAAAATGTACTACGATTCAGATATGAAAATATCAGCCAGACTGCTTTCACTTATGAAAATATAGTGGAAAAACTCCAAAGTTTTTGTGATTTCAGTTCTTCAAAGATGAGTCTTGTATGCAGTCAGAAAAGTCAGCTGAAGTGAAATAGAAAGAAAGATTTTAAATCTTTGCTTTTACTGAAACCTTCACCTTACTGAAACCTCCAGATTCAAGACAGGAACAAGTTTTGTCTGGAGTTAAATAAAGAGGACCCAAAGGTATTTTTCCTTAAGGGAGATAGGTCTTCAAAGGACAAGCATGAAACAAATACAGAATTTGGAAAACTGTAGTGGTGAAAGTCCACACCACCTTCTACAAATGCATTCAAAGCCTGTGAAGAGGTAAAAATGAAGCAAATACACATCATAGGTGATCTCTCTGTTTAATCAGTATGATCATGTTGCTTTGCAGAAGTCTCCATGTAACACTGTTTGGAGCAATTTGTGTTACCATTGACTAGCTTGACACTATAAAAGAACATATGCTGGTTTCTTACTTACATTTGTTTGCTTGTTCCTAAATTCCTTCTCCCTCTGTAACCGGTAGTGGTCTATCTCGGCTATGGCTTCTTCTTTGGCCTGCCTCAGCCTCTTTCCCTTTCCTAGTGGGGCAAAAATATGAATTTACTTCACATGTTACTGTATCCTAAAAAATTAATCTCTCTAAATCAGATGTGTTTTACACAGCGTAGTAAAACAGACAAAGCTTTGAGCAAAGTCAACCGCCCAAGAATGGTCAGAAGAGCCAAAGTGATTTAGGTAGGGTACTTGTTGATTGAAGGCCAGTCACACACGTACCCATCTTCTGAGACCAAATCCCTGTTCGAAAGCACCCATCAAATGAAAAGTTTGCTCGTTTGCTAACAACATGAGTCTTTTTGCAACTACACATTTTCTCAAACACAAATGCCTTTTTTTTTTTTTAATCACAGCTTGGTGTTTAAATAAATATCTATCTTTCCTTCATCAGCAATAGTAGCAGCCAGATAACAGATTTTAGTTGTCACTGATGGGAAAAGACGTTATTCTGTAATATTTGCTGTATTGATTGGTTGCCAGCATCTCTTCATCCCACACCAACTGGATTCTGCTCAGAGCTGGCAGATTTCCAAAGTACTGCAAGATATGTCTTAACCACTACAAAACTGAGTTACAACCTTCAGGCTTTGTCCTCTTCTCCCCTACTCTTTCCTCCTAACGTTTGTTGAATGCAGAGGTGAGTAATTAAGAGAAAAAGGTCAATGGTATTCTCTACCAATACAGAGAAAATGTGAAAGCGATTAAAATGTTTTTATGTGAAGCAAGTGTTGAACATGTCACAACCACCCTGTGGTGATGCATCTCTGTCTGCCTGTTTTGTGTGAAGTTGCATGGATCTCCACAGGACTCTGCTACACTACTTTGTGAGGAAAAAGCCACTTTCTAACTGATGAGGCTGTAAAGCTCTTGCATTGAAAGTTGACGTTATATTTGAGACACCTGGCCTGATGCTGATTTTTGGGGTCTCCTCCTGCTGTAGAGCTAGAATTTTTGGAGTGAGAGGGGATAAGCTTGCTCCCTTTTTTTTTTAATGGGAGAAATGTCTTCAATGGCTGAAAAGGCTATTGCTTAGTTGCTTGAATTAGGATATGACAAGAATGAGAGAGTGGCAGCTAGACAACTGAAAAACGCATCTTGATCTGATGCATGAAACATCCATTTCTTTATTTTCTTATTGTAAATACATACTTAACATCACTGAGGAATATGAATATTTTTGGTTTTTATTTTTAAAAAAAGTCTTTCAATTCAAGCACTAAAGTTGAAAACAGTACATTTTCTGAAATCCTAAGGAACATTTTCCAAAAGGCTAGAAAAAGGAGCATTAGTAATTCTGATTTATTTTCTCCAGGCTGCTACATTGGATTGGTTACATGTGTGCTGGGCTTCTGAAGCCTTATCAGGTGTGGCCTACAGCAAGCTGGTTCCACTGAGCATGGCATGATGAGGAAGCTGAATCCTGGGAGAAAGACTGTTTTCTTTGCCACATCTGAGATTCAACAAAAGCCTGGGTAAAATGCCTGATTCAGAAGTAAATTATTTGCCTAGTTGATGGCGCCTTCTGAAGTCATTTGCTGCAGATGGGTTAGAAGAAGCAGAGAGATACCTGAAATGTGAGTTTCCTTTTAAGGTGTTGATTCCTGGGCTGTTTAATATTGTGGGTGTGCTTCTTGTTGGAACTAGGGTGTGTGATTGTATAAGGCTTTTTCTGCTGAGAAACTAGATAGCTTTGCTGACTCTCAGTTCCACCAGTGCAGTGTTCTCTTGTGTAGTGAATTACAATTTTTAGAGTCCTTCTGTCACCAAGGCACTGTGCTTATGCATAAAGAAGCAGAGAGCCAGTTTAAATCCTGGGATGTACTTTCCCAGATTTTGTATTTGTTTGATAAGGGCTGATCCCCTCAGCTTCTGCCACTCACTGCATGAAGTCTTGGGACCAGTATGTGTGAACTGACAGATTTGTGTTAGAGCCTGACATCAGTCTGGCTAACAAAATTTGGAGCCAGGTTTAGGTTTGTATTTTGAAGTTTCCCTTATTCTCCCCTCCAATTTTGGACCTGATCAGCCTTTTAAAGAATTTTCCTCTAGGAGCGAAGCTGTGGGGTGATTCTCTGGAGCTGGAAGTTGGGTGTAGTGACTACAATGAAGCTCTGCCAATTTCACCAGCTGAGGAACTGGATCTCTATAGCAAATTAAATTATTTCAAAATCAGTCGGATTTCAATTTCAAATTCCATCTGGGGGGCCATCTGTAGTAAATATGTTGTGTATTTGGCCACCAGATAGTTAAATATATCCATTTAAAATGCACAAAATATGAAGAGATTAACTGTAAAACAACAGTTCATACACCTCTGACAATGTAGCTGGTGAATCAAAAAGCATACATATAGATACGGGTCAGCTCTTGATAGTGCACTGGAGTAAGCACAATACATGGGGTGTCACTGTAGGGTAGCAGCCATTTCATTTTTCCATGATGCCTTTAGGATTGGCACAGCAGGAACCTGCTGCTTCCTATTTAATTAAGTGGAAAAGCTGTGAGTAAATTACTGCTAGTTCAACAACGTTGTGGACAGAATCGGCAACTGCCAACATATGCGATAGTGCATATGCTGCACCTGATTAAGTTAAGCAGAAACTAGAGCTTAACCTGCTGTTTCACTAGAGACAAACCAAAATTAATTAATTGGTCTGTTATTAACCACTTGTCTGCTACCTTAGCTGTGCAATACGGGATTGCCTTTTCAAAGTCTTGCTGATCTTCTGGATGGGATTCTCTGCAGAGCTGAGCTGAAATCAAACCTTACACCATGAAAGGTGGCAGAGCATTGAAATTCATCCAAGATCATGCAAAAAGAGGGCAAGACATACAGGAGGATGGGTAAACCAACTTGTCCCTAAGACATTTTCTCCCTTTCACAGAAAGGTGAGGTACAGACAGCTCCAAGTTTGAAAAGACTCTTGCCCCAAAGGGCATGCTGTGGTGACCAGGTTTGCTGCTGCCGCTTTGTCCCTCCTCACCATCCTTGAAGACGGGGAGCAGCAAAGCAGCTGTGCTATGCCTGGTCTCCTGGTCTGTTGTTGTTGTTGTTATGGTAGCTGACAGGCTATACATTGCTAGGTATCATGTTAATTTGGACAAATCTTAACCAACTTTCTGCAACAAGTCAGCCCTGTGTTAGATTTTCTTACCTAACCTGGTATTAGCAAGGAGAAAGATTGTATTCTTCTTTCTAGGTATTTCTGTGATATTAATGAAACACCTGGATCTGGTTAGATTGAAAAGACCTGGTGAGGTTTTTTAGGTTGTTGAAGGTTTTTACATCTTGCACGAAAAAGATAGTAGAAAGCAAAAATGTTGCATTCTAATTAGCTTGAACACTAAGTTATCTTACTTTCCAAAAACTACCACGCTAAAATTGGTTTACTGTTTTTAAACATACAATCTAGGCTTCTAGCTGAATTTCTGCATAGAAATCATGTCACGTGAAGAAGCTGTCAAAAATTAGTCATATTTTCTTTAAATATGACCATTTCTGTTGTCTTCAAGAGTGTTACATTTTCTGCAAAATGGGATTTAGGGATGTTCATTTTGAGCAGGCTATTTTGCACTTTGAATAAAATACAGTAGAAGCAGCTGATCAGTATGTATAGTTTCTTCAGTAGACAAAATGCATTCTGGATATTATCCGAGACAGTGCCATAGATATACAGTATCTTATTTTGATTAACATTTGTTTTTAATCTGATTTCCTGAAATCTTTCTTCTGAGTTTTCATTTTATTAGGCACTAGAAATTCAAGCCAAGATATAAAAATCTTTAGGAAAACAAGTTTTGCTACACCCAGTGTTCATGACACGTTTGTTTCCCTTGTTTTACTCAAAAGGATTTTCAGGAATTGATATCTTGGCTCTGACAATGCTTAGTTATTTCTGGGATCCAAATTATGCTTAAAACAAAAATGATAGATAAAACAGTGCTGTGTATAAAAGGCCAAAAGATTCATACTGTTTTGGTTTGGGTTTAATCAGTTTAATAGTTTCAGCCATGTGTACATTTACCAACAAACTGCTAATAATTTATCAGGTATTAAATGCCACCAGCCAACGATACAGTAAAGGTATTGCAAGGATAAAGGTTATTGAGCAAGAAGTATGAAAAAGCATAAACAGCAGACCTTGAGCACTGTCTTTGTTTCTTCGATTTATGTCTATAAATATAATTTTATTTATTTGCTAATTTTTCAGTTATCCAAAAGTGGATTTTGCGTTACAAACAGCTGCTTATATGTCAGCAAAAGCTCAGCCCATTATCTGTTTTTATATATATCTGTTTACATTTTGATCTGGTTATGTGAGTATCAACTGTAAACACTGAAAGGTTTGCACAAGGGTAGTTTTGCTTATCACGCTTCCTTGAAAATGGCTTTTCCTGGTTGTGTCCCATGAACAATCTGCCTTTTGTTCCTCTCACATGACAATGTAAATAGAGTAGTCAGGCTGGTTGGTACAGCAGTGTTGTGCCGTGGTTGTTTGCGGTGACAGAGGAGGTCACAGGAGGGGACTGTGTCAGCACTGGCCGTACAGGTTCCTTGCTCTCGCTTCCAGCCCCGACCCGCAGGGTGCCAGGTCCTGAGCAGAAGCTGCTGATCTGAACTGGTACCAGGTGGATCTGGGCTGGTGTTTCCTGGGGTGAAGCAGCATGTCCTCACCTCGTTTCTCTGAATTGTGCGTGCACAGGTTAACTGATTGCACTGGGTAGATTGATTGCATTTCATGTATTTCCTTTTATTTTAGTTTTTATGCTCAGGGACAAACTATACAGTCTTTAATGCTGATTGAACTGCAGAATCATTGTGGGGATGAGACTATTTGAGTTATTCTGACTTGGCATAACCAGATTTGGCATGTAAAGGATCCCTTTTGTCCTTGTATCTAGGGCAGTGTAGTGACATTACTATGAAAAATATTGATATTGAGGACAACATGGAAATTTTAAAATTTTTATTTTGTAGATTCTCTGCAAATCTATTGTAATGTTTAATAAAAAAATTATTTTCTAGGTATAATTATTCTGTTAGATTAGCTGTGCTGCTTGGTTTAGCACAAAATCCATGTTGGAGTAGTCCTTAGAAAAATCTGAATTGGAAACATTAATGCCTGACCTTGCTCGTGTGATCCATGAGATCTAAAATTCACAAGAGTTTTGCTGTTCACAACCTAGTAGAAACCCTTGGCAGTATTTAACATGAACAAAAAAATCCACCAAAGTCTTTAGGCTATAGATGAATACGCCACATCAGCAGTTATTTGAACATTTTGCACTTGATCTGCTTATACCTAGGAATAAAATCTCTTAGAAATGCTTGAAGTTTTTAATGGGATTGTATAGAGCTGCTGAGGATGGAAGGAGCCTCCAGAGTCCACTCAAACGTTCTGCTGAGAGCATGCTTGGCAAGGGCAGTTTGATCAGGGCCACATCCAGTGGGTTTTGAATGCCTCGGTACAGAGGAGACTCCACAGCCTCTTCTTGGCTTTGGCCTCCCTCACAGTTACTTGTTTTTTTTATGTTTAAGTTCATGCCATTGTCTCTTGCCCTTTCAATGGATACTGCTGGAGTCTGACTGTCTTTTTATACCTCTCCCACCTTTTTCTATTTTTTTAATTTCTTTTTTTTTCCAAATTTTTATTTTCCCTTGTAATTTTTATAAAGGCAAAAAAAGTTTGGCTTGAAAATAAATAGAGAAGAAAGTCATACTGATGAAATATTTTTACTCTAAATATTTTTACTGATAGCAAAATTCTTAATAGTTGTTTTTCTGTGGTTGCTGAACTACTCCTACCTCAGCACCAACACACTGGCTGTGTAGGCAGTGGTTTAAGTCAAGTTTCTGACTCGGAGGTGTCTGGAAGATTGTCTATCTGTAAGAAGCCCTGTGCTTATCACATGTACTCTGTGTGGGGCTGAGGTGGTGACAGGCAAGTGTGGTTTTTGCAGAGCTGAGTAAATGCACCTGTAACCACGTCTGGATTCTACAAGATACTTGTCTTTGGTTGTTATTTTTATGTTGTAACAATGCTTTTCATTTTTTGAGTTTCTTAATTTATGAAACCTCTTTTTAACTGGCTGTTTAGAAGAAGACAATCTGGGTTTTTTTGTTTGTTTGTTTTAAAAACAAAAGCAAACCAAATCAAACAACAACAAAAACAATCAAAACCAAAAGTCAAGGGTACATCAAGCTACTGTAGCTGGAGGCCTGATTCTGCAGCCTGTGTTCAGACCAAACGCCCACTCCCTGCACTGGGGGCTGCGCCTTTCCAGGTCACACACTTTCTTCCTTCTTGGAACAGTGCATTTCCTCTGCCCTATGTGAGTATGGAAGAACCATCCCACTTACAGCACCTCGTTTGGCTATATAAGGGTCAAATCACTTAATTATTCCATGTTTTCAGACTTTCAAACACAATTTTATGACCCTTCTCTTTTATGAAGATTTTCCCCCCCTCTGTTCCTTTCGCAAGGCACAGGGAATGGCTGGGTGCTCAGGGAAGGGGTATTGTCTTCCTACTTATTTTCTGTGTGCTGTTGTACAAATTAGTATGTCACCAATAATTAATGGACACATAACAATACTGATTTCTGTGTAGAAGGATTACAGGAATTATACAAATTATTTTTGTTCAGTTTCTAGTTCTCCATGGAAAACAAAATTTATTCCTTCATCACACTCTTGAAGGATATGACATCATGCATTTTAGTTGAGTCCTGCAGGACAACGTAGTTTCCTGCTGCTGGTTCCTAAACCAAGATAAGTCCATGAAACAGTATTAATGTTTCACTGTTAATGCAGGTCAGTGACTCATGTGGTTGGTATCTGCAATCAGGAGAATAAGGTCACTGTATTTTGCCTTAAAGCACTGGGAGATGAATGTAGAAAATGAAGGAAATATATAATATAAATATATAATTTTATATATAAAAGATATAATCTCTGCCAGGAGAATTATTTCTTTGATTGAAATTATTCTAGCAGATACATTCATTTTTATAGTTGTTATTATTACTCTTTTGCTTGTATTTAACTAGAAAAAAAATATACAAATTTACTTTTATTGGATATCTAAACATGATTTGCCCTCAGCATTTAGGCATTTGGCAAACAAGATGTTAATTTTAAATTGAACATTTAATCACTTGCTGATTGCTTGTACCAGGTAACAAGGCTTATGGGTGTCACCTATTACAGTACTGACAGTTCTTGTGATTGTGCTGTGACTTTCATTACTATTATTTTGCCGAAGTTTTCCTTTGTTTTCGTATAATTTTTTTTGAAGCCCAGATGAGATTTAAAGGCAAATTACTAGATTTTGTAAGTAAAGAGGAACACTGAAAAATTTATACAAGACCTATAAAAAGAAATAGAGCGCCTGGAGTCTGGTCCTCCAGAGCTGGCAGCCAGAGGTGTGTAGGTTTCTAGTTTAAATACCTAAGGAAGGTTGTAATGACATTATTGGCATTGAGATAAAGCAAGAATAAATCTAGCTGATGGGATGAATATAACAAAGAAAACCTTGTTTAATGTAATAAGGCACATGCATGTGCACACACTCAAGTACACACGTGCACACAGAATTTTAAGCAAACTTTGGACATTAGGTTTGGTTAAATGCCTGGCTGCAGTCAAGGCACAGCACTAACGCAAGTGAGAAGAAAGAACAGGAGCAGCACAGCTGTGTTGTGTACAGATGAGACAATGTGTTTTTCTGTGAGCCACTGTAATTCTGAAGATCTTACAATAGAAAGCTACAGTAAAAGCAGGCCAGCTACTCACTTTTTTTGGCTTCCTCCAGTTTGTCCTTGGCACGTTTTTCTGCCTGCAGAAGCTGCTGGATTCCCTGAGACTGGCTGGTCATGCTGATTGCTGAGGCTGGTGCACTTCTGCGGGGACCGGAGCTCAGAGGGACTTTTATATGGCCGTTAGGTTCTTCCTTGTGCTTTTTGTTCTGTCTGTTATTACAACAGCCTTCCAGATTGCACCAAACCAGCCAGCTCTGCCTGGATTGCTGCTGGGCAAAAAGGCCTGCTAGTGTAATCAGGAAAACACAGCAGCAAGGTTGAAAAGAATGTTCTTCCCTCCTCAGGGTCACTGAAAGTCTGAAGCGTCCGATTAACACATTGGGAAAAGAAGAGAAGAGCACTCCAAGTGGCTTGTACTTTAGTGGGGATTTTAGGTGTTTTTTGATCTTCTATTGCTGAAGCAGAATGTAGTTAATCTTGTCAGAGGAACTCAGGAAAAAAAAAAGTGTTTCTTGGAATTTCCTTTTAATAAAACTTCCTATACATGTGGAGAATCAGACTCGGTCAGCAAGTAGTTGTGGTTGAACACAGTGAACTGGTAATAGCCTTCTGTTTGATATTACTTATTAATATTATTCATTAGCATTTTTTCACTTTAAAAAGAAATCTTCATTGAAAATTAATTTATCAGGGACTAAAGTTTAAAAAAGTATGTGGTGGTTAAGGTGTGCTCTGTCTTTTAATCTGCCACAAGGGAGATGAGTGCTGTGGAGGGATTAGCTTGAAGATACAGACTTTAGGAAGGTATGACTGGTGGTCTAGGTCTTGCTTTCAAACCCTACTAACACGCACAACAGTCAAACAGACGTGTGAGCATGGCTGTAGATGCACATCCTGTTCCCTATGATAGGAAAGTGTTTTGTGAGCTCCTGCACAAATGTGCACATTTATATTTTGAATCCTTATAAAAAAACCACAACAAATATCATTGTCCAAGGTGTTTCAGCCGTTGCAGAGGAGGGGCGCATGTCAAGATGCATAATTAAATTAGAATTTTTTTCAAATACTTCATAGCGTGAGTAAAGCATATTTATTGCAAGTTCTTCTAACGCCAGAGATCACCTTGTGATGTAAATAGGTTTTTCTGGCTACAATTGTGTTTATATATATATATTTATACAAATATGTGTGTATATATATAGGATTTCTGCATATATGTAATAATATATATATATATATATAAAAAATTATTTGTTGCTCTCTGTGTATGGCCCTTGCTGTAGGGTCCTTTCTTTTCTGGGACTTCGTAGGGAAGCTGTGCCATGCTACTTGCTTGCTGCAAGGCTGCTACCTGGTCCTTATGAGGAAATATGTACTGTTGTTATGAAGGTTGGGGTTTTTCCCCCCCCCAAATAGCTGCGGGCTTGAGCAAAAATGGAAGGAGAAGCCTCTTGCCCTATTATTGTTTTCAGCTGTGCTCTGGATGACAGTAGCCCTGAGACTTTGAAAAGGAAGTTGTTTTGTTTTCTGATTTGTGATATTGTGGAGTCATATTCTGCCCAGGCTCCCTCTTGGGAAAATGCCTATTTCTTACAGCATTTTAGTCACAGAGTCTCTTCCTTCATCCAGAAACCATGCGAGGTGTCTCCTCATCTCCAGCACTGAAATCAGAGATCTCTAGCTGCAAGAGAGCAGATATGGCGCTATTTTTAGAAGACTTTAATGCATAGCCTTGAAGCTTATTTTATTCAGACATATAAGAGAAAGTGATGATCAACTGTACAAAAAACCATGGAAACTGTAGGGTTAGGAAGCCTGTTGTGCCACTGGGATTCAGCTCCAAGTGTTCTGACCAGCAAAGAAAAGCAGAAGTGGAAAATGAAAGTAAAAAATGAAGAGATTTGGTTTACTTGGGGCAGGAAACTTGGGCTCAGAACTTTAAAGCAGTAGTTACTTAAAAATTAAATAGGAAGTGGAAATGTCAAGCTTGTCTCAGACATCAAAAGTGCATTCCAGGCAAAGGGTCTTGTCAAGCAAATCTCTGCGCTACAAGAAATGTTACAAAACTGCTAGCAAACTAAACTGTTTCAGAGTTTCTGGAGTTAACTGAAAGCATTAGACCCTTTGGTTTTTTCAGAGCAGTTCTCAATGCTGTAATTATGTTACGTGGGCCTCAGTAATGATCTGAATTTTGATATTTACAATCTGTTAATTTTAATTAATATTTCACAGAAAATAGTTCTAGATGATGAATTTTCATGGAAAAAATCCACTCTTGAACAGATTACAAAACTCTTCCATTGTTAAAAAATTCATATATTTCTGAAGCAGATCATTTGAGCTGCAGATGTCATAGTTCACATATTTCAATGTTTCTCTGAATCAAAACAAATCTCAGTTTATAATTTTCCTACTAGTTAGTTCATATACAGTGTGGTGGCATGCCATGCTGGCACTCCTCATGGCATCAGGAGGTACTGATACACCTCTACAGGGGAGAAGATGGTAATTTTTTTTGGCTGGTGCTTATACACACCTTGTAAGACTCCACACAAAGTACTCCCACTTAGAACTAACTTTAAACCTTGTCTGATGATGACAGTGATGATCTCAGACTATGTTGACATGGCACCTCTGTGTATGGATAATTCATTAAAATAAAGTAGGTTAAGCCACCAACTAACCAAACAGGCTCCTACTTCATCACACAAGCTAATAAGAAACTTCTTTGTGTCATAGTTGCTGGCTTTCTTTCCAAACTAGCTCCAGACTCTAATTAGGAAGAGAAGCCGATGTGGTGACTGGTGATGGGGGCACAGAGAGGTGTTACTAGAGAGAGAGAGGGCAGAGAGGAGTTTGGTGCTTTCTTTTTTTAAAGACTCCTCCCTTTTTTTTGCAGCATCTCATCCAGCTATCTCAGTCCCCAGAATTTCCTGAGTCTTTTCTGGTTATCACTACTGACAGAAGGGGGAAAACCGGCTCAGTTCTGGTATTCTCGCTCCCCTAAAGCTGTGGGGCAAGGAAATGAGGAGTCTTACAAGGGACGAGAGACCCTGCTGAGCTCCCCCTGCTCAGCCACAATGTAACCAGCAGAAAAACTCCAAATCAGGCATTTCTAGCACAGACAGAGGCTGTGTGGCTGCTGCCTTCTTCTGCAGTGGTAAGGTCAGGGCCAGTGGGTAAGTTCACTCCAAGTAGTTCAGATTATTTTATTTGGAAAAAAGTCTGCTTGCTGTTACTCAGATTGAGCCTTACCTAGCATGAATATAACACCTTCTCAGTATGTCTACTACTGAGCAGAAAAGGCAGTGCTGTGGCATCCTTTTATTGTGGTTTAACTGAGCACAGGCTCTTCTGTATGTGGGAGGGCAGCAGGCAGAGTTTCCACTGAACTGTGTTTAAGTTGAAGGTCTCCCATGCATTGCCTCTGTGGCTGTATTTCCCAAAGCACACACTTAATTTTTTTTTTTCTAATCACTTTTTTATTATTAAAAAATATTCTTTCCAAATAAGCTGCTATGAGTACCAAGTAGTACTCTTTGTTCAGGTTACAGCTTCAAAGTGGTGACATTGAGTCAATGATAAAGTGTTAAAATCAGCAGCGTGTCAGGCACGGCAGCTGGCACGGATGCTTTTGTGTTTCAGTGCACACCTTTTTTTTTTTTTTTCTATTCTAGAAAGGCCTAAGTAAAGAAAAGCAAGGTACACACCTGCACAGCTTCCTACATCACAATGGGGAATGCTTTTTCTGACAAAAATGGAGCGCCTTCAAATGGAGTAAGTTCTATCATGTTGCAAAGGAGCAGTGGGCTCCTGTGAGTGTTAAAGTCAAGGGGTCTTTGTGCATAAATTAAAATGTATGCAGGGAAAACCATCATGTATTTCTCAAAATCATGGCCTTTTCTCTCTGAATTCAGAAACTATGTTTCTTATATTAAACGAAAAATAGTTAGGAACTGTGTACTGAAGTTGTAACTATGTCTGCAAGCCAGGAATCTCACTACAGCATTTTCTGACAGTGACGTTCTCGCTCTGTTGACATCAGTGCAGTTGACCTCGGCAGCCTGAATTTCACCCAGAGGCCTGAAAAATATGAGAACAAATAGGTAAGCAAAGATGAATAAATATTAAAATATTGCCAGAGGTGGGTTGCTGCCATACTGTCTGGGTGAGCTTATTGACTGCTGGCCAAGTCTGTCGACACAGCCTCAGCTTCAGCTGGCACATTCAGCTGGCATAGCAGTCTGCCTACCCTATATTGAACACCTACCTGTAAAACGACTCATATTTTTTCCTAAATTTGGCCTGTGTCTAGATCTGAGTAATTATGTTTGCAACTATAGTTGGTTTGGCATTCAGAGAAAGTCAGTGTATTTAATTATTCTTTTTTTCTAAAAATATCTTCAACTTCCAGGAGAAAAATTGAGGAAAAGATAGGTATCATTTTTTTTTTTCACTGCCTATGTGATAATTCAGGTAAAGTAAATAAAAATAAACGGGGGGGGGGAGGAGGGGAGGAGGAAGAAGGAGCAAAAAAAGTGCCCTAGTCTCTGAAAGTTCCAGGTTAATTTGTAATTTGACCATCAGTATGGTTGTGATTATTTCCTGTTCTCAGTGTATGGTGTGTTCACCCCGGCCAGCAGATAAGCCCCCACCCAGCAGTTTTCTCACTCCCCCACAGTGGCATAGGGTGCAGAGTCAAAAGAGCAAAAGCAAGAAAACTTGTGGGTCAAGATAAAAACAGTTTAAAAAGTGAGGGGAAGTTGGGTGGGGGAAGCAAAGTGATGCTGAGGCGGTTGCTCATCACCTCCCACGAGCAGACCAATAACCAGTCAGCCTCCAAATAGTGGCTAGTTTGGTTGGAAACGCCAGATCCCCGGTTTTATTGCTGAGCCTGGCATTGCGTGACATGCAATATCCCTTCGGTCAGTCTGGGTTGCTGTCCTAGCTGTGTCCCCTCCAGCCTCTTGCCCATCCACCCTACTCCCTGGGGGGGCAGAGTGAGGAACAGAGAAAGCCTTGACAGCCTGCAAGGCACTGTTCAGCAGCGCTTAAAACATCAGTGTGCTATCAACACAATTATAGTCACGAGCCCACAAGGTGTGGGCTGTGATGAAGTCATTAACTCCATCCCAGCCAGACCCAACATTGTTTCATTTCAAATAATGTTTCCTTGTTTTTCTTTTCCCAGTGCAGCTATTTGCTATCTTCTTTTCCACCCTTCTGCATAAGAGCATGCCTCTTCCCTTATTACATCCTCCTGATGATTTTTAGTGTTGCAGCCTTC